TGAACAGTAGTAGCTTCTTCTACCAGCCAAAGGTTCTTGTATAATCATATGGGAACATCTCATACAGCTTAAAGGACAAACAAAAAGAGATAATCCATTTGGATTCTGGATGCCTCAGCCAAATCCCTTTTGACGGTAATGGTTATTTAAAATGGTCTGTATATAATACTCCAATAATAGAAATAATAAGAATATTGTATTACACAATATGATCGTGCCATGAGAACTGAATGTTAAAAAGGAACAAGCTAATCATAAAGGTATAACTTCATCTATTTTTAAAAGACAGATAGAACAAGCTAGGAGTGGGCACCCTAGTACCCTCCAGATGTTTTGGGACTATAGTCTCCACAACACCTTACTCGTGCCATGTTTATTTGGGCCAACAGGTTTGATCTAATAATTTAGAAGAAAGCAGGTTGTCTATCCTTTGCAAGAACAATATTATTTTATTATGATACTTGTAGAAAGTGGATCTGTTTTTGGACTTACCATGAGACACCATTCTGGGGACCGAGCAATGGACTTGATGGAGGAAAGGGTTAATCCACCTTTTCTAGTCAGAAGACAGAACCTAAGACTTTTTACTGAGTGGAGGAAATCCATCCTCTGCAGTTACATGTACTGGCTTCAGCTGAGAATATTTTAATGACCTCTATTGATCAATCTCATCCTTTATTAATCAATCTCATGAAATACACATATTAAAAAACTTGCTACTAGTGTGGTAAAAATGAACACACATATATGAAAAAAGTTTCCTGTATAGACATATCTATACACTATTGGATGGGACTGTAGATCCATCTTTTAATGACCAGAATGATACCTCTTGGTAGGTCCAAGTACTGTTCTAGGAAAAGGATATATTACAGCACTATCCTGGTGAGATGCAGTAAGAGTTAAAGCAGCCTTTACAGAATAAAGCACCCATGGCTAAATCTGCTGAGGCAAATTTGTTTACCTTGTATTGCCTAATGAAGGTAGATGATTCCATCTAAGTTGTAGCCCAAGAGATGTTTATCAACAGGATCCCTATTGACAAATGGTTGAAGCAGTTGCTGCTCTGATGCTGGCACAATAGGACAGTGACATGCAGTAACTGAACAACCTGCTTATGAAGGATCCAATTATTTATCTCCCTGAATTTCCTGCCCTGTAGGAGACCAACAGGCTATCAGCCCTCTACTTCCCTATGTGTGCTTGAGATATAGTCTTACTTTCTATGCATGTTTAGTTTATGCCAAATTTTAGCAGAAATTTGGCAGTTATGATCACTTTTCTGTGAAAATTGGAATGAATCTTGAGTATGAAACATGGATCTGTTCTAGAACCACCCTGTTTTGGTGGAACTCACACAGGTCTCCACTCACTGAGAAGAACCCTAGCCCCCTACCCTCCTGGCAGTGATGAAGGCAATTGAGAAGGTCATCTTTCATGTGAGATGTTGATGGAAATCTATCTGATGTACTCATACAGAATAATAGTCAATGCCCTGAGGGCCAAGGTAAAATGTCATAAAGAGAAGCAGAATATAACCGACAATACAAGAGGTGAGCATATCTGAAAAAAATGGAATACCTAAGGGGATCCCAACACAGAGGTCTCTTGTTTGTCCAATTAGCTAAAGCCCAGAGTCTGTGGAAGATATTGGCCTTTAGATAATTATCTAGACACACCCACAGAAAACCTAATAGTTTCATGACATCAACTGTTGTTGTCATCTCTTTTTCTTGGATCTACAGTAGGTCTTCAGACTACAAGTCATTTGGTAACTCATGATACCAAAGCACAAACTGGAAGGTCAATGCTTCAATTTAGGCATTCTGATTCTGGGTGCAGGTGCCATACAGATTTCTCACTCATTTCCAGTAGGGCAGAAAGCCAAGCTCTCATGTGCCAGAAGAGGGCAATTAAAATTGCTTGTTCTTTGAGCATCTTCAGTTTGCAAGTCACTTTGGACAGTGTTAATGCTGATGGAAAGGCACACTTTCTGGTTGCAGTCCCACCAGGGTGTCATTCCCTCTACCCTATCATCTTAGAAGCAGTAATGTTGTCTTTTGCTCACTGTTGTGAACAAATAAACCAAATGGGTTACCCTTATCTCTGAAATATTCTGAAAGCGCTCTTGGAGTAAGGTTCGTTCCCCCTGCAATAAACTCTGTTGAGTCAGCTGGTCTACTGGTGGGTTTAGCAATCCGTTTTGTATATTCCACAGACAAGAAGACCAAATGTGTCTCCATCTACTCTATCAGGCATAAAGCCTCCTTCTGAAGGTCCTTTAATCTTATTGCAGCCCAACTGTTGATTATAGTCTTACTGATAATGTTGTCTATCCAAATTATTATGTGTCACCCCTTCATGAGAGGTACCAGAGCTTTCAACATCAATTACACTGGTCTCAACTTGATAGGCAGTTTTGACTCAAGAAACCAGTGTCCCTGAGCTTAGCAGCTCTAGGTACTCCATCCTGTCAGGCTGATATCTGTGGTCTCTTTGATAAGTTATCTGCATTGCATTCCCCTTGTCAGGTTTACTGAGGCAAACTACCAACGCAAGACTCTGGTTTGGAACTGATAGGTGTAAGTGCTATCTGCTGGTAATGATTCTGGAATGGTAGGATAAACCATTTAAGCAGAAAGAGTCCCATGGTACCATATTCAGGGTCATACTCATAATATCTTGTAATATTACTAGTGCTGCAAGGGATGCCAGAATCTCCTTCCCCCATCCCTTACCCTCTTTGCATTCTGGAGCTTGATTACGTATGCTGACAGGAAGAGCTTCCTATCTTGTGTGTTGATGGTAACTCACAGTTGTAGGATCTGCTTTGAAGATGTTAGTAAACTCTTCTCTAAGGTCACCATGAAGGTATGCTTTTGCAGTCACTGGAAATAGTCTTTTGATGCTGTTGACTATTTTTTTCCTTGAGGGATCAATGATGAGTAAGTCATCCAAAGAGGCATAGATGTGAATCCCGAGTGCCATCAGGGCTACCATCACTTTGGGGGAAACTCTTGACACTGAGGCCAACCTGCATGATATACTGTAGATCTGAACTGGAACTAATCCTTCTCATATGTGAAACTGAGAAATGTCTGATATACAGAACTGATGAGGATGTAAAGATAGGCCTTTTACATATTTACCAAGGCTAGAAATGCTTACTATGATGGCCTCTGCTGCACCTTAATATATTATCTTCTTCCTGAAGGCTTCATGCCTGTTGAACTTGTTTAGTGACTTGAGGTTTAGGATGGCTCTCCATGTCCATTGTTCTCTGACAGTGAACAGGATGGAGAACAGGCCACAAAAATTCTTCTCAGTCCCAAGAGGAAAGCCTTTCTTTTTCAGAAGGCATTGCTGTTATTGAAGATTTCCTCCACTGGGTGCAAAAGTCTAAGCTCTGCCTTCTGACTAAAGGTGTCAGTTCCATTTTAGTGACCAAGAACAATTTATGTTAGAAAATACTTTTGATCAGCCTTATCATTTAGCAAAAATATTCATTTACTTATTCTAAATTCTAGCTCACATCAAGTTGAAGTGGGAGGCATAACTACCTTCATACACTTACGTCCATATGAAAGGCAGTTTCCATGAAAAGTGTATATCTGTCTGTCTGTCTATTCATTCACATGGGAAGCTCACTTTACCCTAGAGGTTATCTACATTGTAGTATTGGGGAGGGGGGGGGTCATATTCCTGGATCTATAATCCCCTTGATTATTGTGAACAAGTTATGCATGTAGTCAAATCTTTTCTACTGAAAAGAGATTTAAAATATACATAACATTGATTTTACCGTAGTTCCACCTTGTTAACAAGAAAACTGGATGCAATTGTTTACACTGGAGGTGGATGTCTAGTAGCAGTCCTTTTAGTACAATTCATAAAATTCCAGGTAACTAACAAGATCACAAACCAAACTGAGAGTACCAGCCAAAATTCAGCTTTTAAAAGGATTTCAGTAAGATAATTAAACATACATCTCTCTTGCTAAGTGATAGAACTTAGAAGTACTTGTGACTATGTGCAATATTCACTGGTCACTGTAGGAAAGTTAGAAGAAAAGGATATTTTATTGAAATTAAAGGCAGTAAGTGATTGATTACCCATTCTACTCAAGTCATTTTTAGGGGGGAAACATCTAATAGATGATCACTTATGGTTTTAGATAAATCACTTATTCAAAAAGCTCTATAAAAGAAATGAAAATGAAAAACTGACATACCAAAAACCTGTGTATGGGTAACTGTTGGAAAATTGCTATTTTTTCATCTTAGCTACAATCTAACTGAGATTCAACTGATATTTGTGAGTTCCTAGCCTATATGAATCCAATTACTGCAATCTTGAGACAAAAAGGATTTAGGGAGAGGAATTGGGAGGTGGTTTATGTAAGAGAATCAGCAAAGAAATTCAATTTAGTTCTTGCTTCCCTAGTTGCAGCTAACTGGAATCCTGCCAACATTTGTGCAGAGCCCTAGCTATTGGGGTGGGTTGGAGAAATGTGCATGAAGCATCCTCCATCTGTGCATGTGTAGCCTCTAAGTGGGTTGGGTCAACCAAAGATTTCAAGTTATGTAAGCTTCCCATGCTAGCCTGCAAAAGCTTGCTTTTTCCTCTTATCAGAATCTCTGTCGTCAGGAAAACTGAAAACAGGGTGTGAGAAATTTGGGCCTATAGGATACAAAGGATAGGAAGACGTCCCAGTCCTCTGACATGTGCCCAGTCCAGCGACCCATTTAGTCCACCCAATGGGTTGGTTGATAGGAGGAGGAGGAGGAGGAGCTTTTTTCTGCTCAATGATGCTATGTTGGTCTCAAGAGCACAGTACATGATTCACTGGACACTGTACCCAAATGTTCTATGTGACACGAGCGCTGAGTTGGGTACAGTGTTATTTTGCAAAGTTAGAAAAATGCTGAATGAATCTCTAAGAATTTAATTTCTCCAAACCATAAAAACATGCCCAAACAGGAAGTATTTAAAAATCTTGCAATTTTATTTGCATATAAAGGCCGCTAGATATATAATATCGCAATAAATTTAAAGAAACACCTGCTTTCCTAAATTCCATGAAGATAACATAAAACAGAAGAAAGCTCAATAGCATTTACAGTGGTAGAACAGAAGTAACTATCTGCAACAATATTTTGTGCTAGCAAGATTGCATTTACACACAGTGCAAAATAAGAGAAAAAGAAATGGAAAGACAATTCAATAATATTTTAAATATAAAGGACAACAAAGCCTTATTTTAGTTAGGCTTGATTGTATTCATTTGATTCTATACATGCCTGAAACTGCACAAAGATTTTAAACTCAAGCTCTTGAAGGCCTTGAGCACTTGGAAAAAATGTGTCACATCCTTCATAATTTAGATGTGCTGTACAGCATAATTTTGCAGATGCTACACTGGCAATATTATATGCCTTGCTTTGTTATAATGCACAAAAAATATATATAAAAATCCATATTTAAAAGGAGTCCGCATTTACATGTTTTTACTGCATGGAACACCTGCTCATTGCAGTTTTCATTCCCATATTTTTAAAGCTAAAATAATTTAAGAAACTCACCCAAATTGTGACAATTTAGATAATCACATACAGGATGTTGCTATCTAACTGATCAATAAAGCAGGCAGACAAACTAAATCTAGAAGGCTATTTTCCCCTCACTACTGCAATACCATTAATAAGCAGAACTTCATAGAATGCATATGTATCAATGAAAAAAATTAACTGATCCCTGATCCAGCAATTAGCTGTGGACATAGGAGGTCTGATGGGTCAAGACTCTTCCAGATCAAGAATTCTTTTCAACAGAGGGAGACGATTCACTGAAATGAATGGAAAATCCACCTCCAGTTGAATAACTCCATGACCACAGCCCAGCACAGATGTAGGCATATTTAGAACCGTCCATTCCACAAGTTTTCAACACATTTCATTCAGTACTGGATTGTGACCTGTATTTGCACAGGAACATACCCCAACCTCTGGATCATGGAACATATACAAGCTAATAAAAATGAGGAGAGAATGGCATTTTATCATTAGAAATCCCCCCCCCATCAAACAATAACAGTTGTGCAAATTTGGGTGTGTGTGTTTTTTTTTAAACACTGCCTTTTATAATCTTATTTAATAATATTAAAATAAGGTGTCTCACTCATTAAAAGAAAGCTTGGCTGTCCTTTTGAGAACACTAACAATTTACAATGGCAAGTTAATTAAGAGAACATAAAACTTCATTTTACAAATTCACAATGCTTTATCAATTTCAAATGGATGCTGCATTTCCAAAAGAAAAAAAGAGAGGGAAAAGAAAAAGCACAACCTCTATCTTTTTTTCTGTGTAACAACAATTTACAAAAAAGCCCTACATTATTTGTAAAGAAACATGTTAAGAGAATGAATGTTTTGTAATTAGAAAAATGGCAGTTTATAGACCTTCCCCAATGGAGTAGTGGTCTTTCATGATCCTTGTGGGGTTGGCAGGTCAAATATAATTGGTGGATTGGTTGGCTGAAAGCTGACTGTACACGTTGAGGCATTAATGTACGTTGTGTAGCCATCTGTCATAATGCCGTAACCTGTAGAGAAAATGTGTCACACTTACTGTAATGTAAACAAACACTGACCTAGTATAATGCCCTCAGGATGACAAAAGGGGAAAAAAAACTTTGTTCTAAGCAGACTTTTGGAACTGCGTTCAGTTAAAGCTTTAAATATATTTCGAGTAAAGTCACCCGCGTAACTCTCTCCCCCTAAGTTTTTTAAACAATAGAATTTTGCTTTAGTAAGAAATTGTTTAGAAAAGCTAAGAACACAAAGATGTCTTCATTTTACATATTACATAAATGCAGGAATTATTTTTAACTTGATTTCAGGGTTTATCATATTGTAACGACAATGGTAAAACAATGGTTAATTTAATTTGTGTAACAACGCTTTCGTCACATTGGCAAATTTAACTACCCACTATATCATGACGTCAGTTCAGAGCAGTGGTCAAAAATGTCCTTCCCACTGCCCCCCAAACATTTTTTATTCAAACTTCATCCAGATTGTCCACAAATCCATTACACTCTTCTATGTGTACTTCATGGGGATTTTGAGGGGGGGGGGGTTATAATACTATTTAAAGTGCAATGAACACAAAATGTAAGTATGTTTGCCTTGGCTCAACAACCTGTACTGATGCAGGACGGCAAATATATGTGGTGTAATATACTACCAGTAAACTGGTGGAAAATGGCAAAATAGGGAGAAATGGAGCAGATGGCTAATTTTCTAAGCTCCTGGCATGTGGTGAATGTGGTGATGTGATGTTTTGTTTTGCTTTGTTGCTGATTACAAAGGGTAAAGGGCACCAGCATGTGGACTGGAGTAATTTTCTACTTATTCTGAGATTTGTCCACAGGATGGGACAATGTTGGATGCTGTTGAAACCCTTCCCACCATGCTTCCTTTTCACCCTCTTCAGTGTTGGATCATTCTGCAGCACAAGAGCACAAAGGAGGGCTAAAAACTCTGATTAAATTTTCCACGACCAAACCACTCTCTTCATCTTCTGAAGATATATCTGAAAAATCTTAAAAGCTCCCACAATCCCATCAGAGGACTCTACAGTAACTTACAATGAATGAATGAATGAATGAATGAATGAATGAATGAATGCATGCATGCATGAATGAGTGTGTGTGTGTGTGTGTGTGTGTGTGTGTGTGTGTGTGTGTGTAGAAGAGGCCAAGATCACGTCTATG